ACTCTAATCACCCTTCCTAGTATACGCGTACGCATTTAATTGGGTATACGCGTATGCATTTAATTGGTATCGAAGATAGGTTTTTCAGGAACTATGATAAGCACGATAAATTCATTTTCCGTTGTTATGTATGCTGAGAGAATAGGCAACGATTCAAGAGAATTTTGATGACGGTGGTGACAAGTTTCCAATGATTTACGTTGCTAGACAACATACAACCTTCTGGCCTTATTCTATGTATTTGTGCATTTTAATACACCTTTTACCGCTTCATACTGTAGTATTTCATAAATAACATCCTCATGATTAAGATCTGAATATTATTCTTCATAATGCCTACAAGCATAATTCTTGAATAATATCCCCACAGATTATCCGGCGATCTTCTAATGCGGTGTATACTAGTACAGAACGTGTGCTTCTCTAATCTTATGTAGTGCGCGCGTATGAACTTACAAAAAAGGTTATTATTATAAGACCACAAAAACATCCTAAAATGACTATGTATACGAACGCACACACTTTGCTGAACATGTATATTTCCGTACCACGTATGTAGATTTTGTCTCAAAATGTCGATTCTTTTGTACCACAGAATAATTATAAGCTTCGATTAATAAAAAGAATTTATTTGGCGTATTATTATTGTTGTAAAAACAAATAGCGTTAGTGATCTAATTAAGGAAGGCTCCAATACACATTTTTTTATTTATACCAAGCTTTCAATAGCTGATGTTTTTTCGACTTTTAACAGTTGCCCTACGTACGTACGTACATACTTGTTTAGGTGTGTTGAGTGTAACCCGGGTTTGCGGAGAGCTTCTTCCAGTATTGCGAATACAAAGTAAAATTTCCAGTTATATAGTATAATTGGAAATTTTCACTTTGTATTCGCTTATGCAACCCGACGCATCCAAACAAGGTAGAGAAATAAGCAGGCTAATGATTGGAACGCAATGTTGTCAATCGGAAGATTAGAAGATATTGGCCATCCAATGCCCAAACTTTAACACAACTCTAAAAAAAATGAAAATGAAAACATAAAAAAAAAAAATAAAAATGAAAACATAAAAAAAAAATAAAAATAAAAACAAAAAAAAAAAATAAAAAGAAAGAAAACCATAACGCTAAAATTAATAATCCTGTAAAATCATATGTTCATAACTTTCATATTAACATGTCATAAAGTAAGAAATTTAAGGTCATAATGTTCATATAAATGTATCGTAAGCGCAGTTCATAATTATAAACATATCGTAAGTGCAGTTCATAGTATTCATATTAACATATCGTAAGTGTACTTCATAGTACTTATATTAACATATCGTAAGTGCAAAGTTTCAAATTCATAACGTTCTTATTGGTATATGATAATGATAAAGTAAAGAATATTTTATACGAGAAATGAATAATCGAAACCCATTTCATAAGAAGCGACAGAATTTAAGTTATTTTGATATATTACGGAGAAGTTGAAGTTTTCGATAGCCGTATTCGCGAGGTCATTTTGGAAGTCGAGGCCGCCAATAAATGAATTATTCAAGACGATATCGTTTGAAGATTCAAGACCATGAGCACTAAATGAAGGCATATAATTAACCATGGGGCAAATCGTTTGCGGTTGTTCTATTTGAATTTGCGTATCAAGAAAATTAACGAACATCGATTCGGGAGAAGCGATTCCAAGATCAACTTCGTAGTCGTTATTTAATTCGGGAGAACTATTTCCGGAAACTGAAAGATCTAGTCTAGAAGAAAAGTTTTGCGAGTCAAAGAAGTTTGTCCATTCCGCCAAAACGTCCAAATTAGAAGATAATTCAGAAGTCATATTTGGAGGTAATTCTGAAGGTAATTCTGAAGGTAATTCAGTAGTTTGGACAATATTATTAAAAGCAATATCAATTTCAGGTTCTGGAGATGATATTGGAGGAGATGGTAGTTTATTATCAGATTTTTTAGCTTTAATAATTGGAGTTTTGCGAGATGGTTTAGAGAATGTAATAATATTCCATTTTTCTCTCTTTCTTCTACGTTCGGATTTTGGAACAATTTCGTTACGATAATCAAATGCATCTTTTGCAAGTTGTTTATATTCATTTTTAACGATCTCTGATTCTTGCTCCCAAGATTGAGAGGCCATAGTAGAAATAACGGTCATGGGGAGGGAATAACCATCATTTTTAGCAGCATCGATGAATGCTTTTCTATAAACAAGGAAAGCATTAGGAGCTTTTGATGTTTTACCATTGGGAAGTAATGTGATTAAATCACATGGGTCAATTGTAGGTGGGAACGGAGGCTTGATAAATGGTTTAAGATTGTTAATAACTTGATTTTTTATTGAGGGATCATTAGAGTTAATAAAAACGCAGGTTCGTGATTTTACTCGATTGTTGGCACTGGCATTAACAGAACAAATAGCTTGATTTTGTCCGCTCATTTTATTAAATGACCTCAACCAAGGGATGACAGTAAATTCTCGGTGCGTATATATACATTTTTCAATAGCCGAAGTAACTGTTTATTTAGATAGTGGATTCCCTCCTTCGATAAGTTTATGCCTCAACCAAAGTACACCAAATTTAATTTGTGGCGTTGTGTACGGTTTCGCCACAGTTTATCACCGTACTTGACACTATTTTTAAACTTATTGTCGGACAGGTCATGGAAAAGCCTAATGAATTTATTGAGCCAACGAAAAGGCTCAATACGTATGTTTATTATCATTGTTATTTATGTTTAATAAGTCGAGATTATCTAAAGGTAACATGTTTTTACTATGAAAAAAAATAATAATTTTTTTTTTCTTTTTTTTTTTTTTAAGTTTATGGTGAAAAAGTAATAATTTTAATATTATGCTTAATTATTGCAAATCAGATTCCACGTGGAAAGATATGTAGCCAAAGACAAGATGTCCCAAAACAGCTATGAGAAATGGGTTGCCATATTCAGTGGATATGCACCACGTTGTTTTCGAAATTGTCGTTATGAATGTTATTCCATTTAGAGTAATTTAAATTTAGAACATTATTTTCAGCTATCGCTATCGGAATAGATTGTCTTATTAAGCAATCTTCGTGACTTTAAAATTTTAAATCTGCTGTGCATAACCGAGCGTTAGTTGTCTTAATTATGCAGTATTAATAAGGTAATGTTCCTCAATTTTCACAATGAAGGTAAATGATATCGATATATTAAGGTCATTTCTTAAAAACATTCTTATATGCGATTTCAGTTCATTAATAGATCAATGTTCACAAGTTTTTATCAATGAAAGATAAATGTAACTTCAATTCCAGATGGTATCAGTTTCCTAAACGATATTAAAAGTAAGAAATTATCTGGGACAAAGGAGCAAGACCAGGGACGCAGGGTTCGATTACTCCATTACGTTCACTCATTACTTCCGAAATTTTTCTTGTAGCAGTCTTAAACAATTTGTAACGATTTGCAAAGATACTAGTGAAATTAAATTTTGATGTGTATTTTAAAGGCTATGAAGCATGTTCTTTATTATGAAATAATCAATAGACGAAAAATAATTTTTTAGTCTGTAAAATTATTCTTTTATTAAATACTTAGAATCTGAAGACTGAATAATTACAATTTTTTACCATGTTATTAGCGTAACCTTGAATAAAATGTTTAAGTTCATTTTGTCAATATTTTTAAATTTCTTACATTATTTTCAGTGTTGGGCTGACCAGACCAGTCTGACCAATTGACCAGACCAATTTGACCATTTGATCAGTCTGGTCAAAGAATTTGTATTGGTCAAATTGGTCAAATTGGTCAAATAGCATCTTTAAATATAATTTATTATATAGCATATATATTATTTTTATATAATAGACTTGACCAATTTGACCAGTTTTGATCATTTGACCAATTTGACCAGACCAATTTGACCAGCAAATTTTTGCTTGACCATTGATTTACCCAACACTGATTATTTTAATGTTTTGTTAATTGCTGAATTTTTTTTACATTGTTTGATATAAATATCATAGTTTAAGAGATTATATAAGTATTGGTCATAAGATCATAATCGTTATCAATCGTTATCAACGGTTATATAAACAAACATAAGACGCGTACTATTTCTCTTTTCATTTTCGCGGAAAAAGAAACAAAAATGAATGAACAATCCCAAAGTATTTAAACAATGAACAGAATTTCATTTCATCATGATTTCTACCCAAAGATAAATAAACAACTTTTTATTTATTAACATACCATATTAAAGTAGAATTGCAATTCACCTTACGCGAGAATAATACTTCCATCAGTGAGTAAGTATCTAAAGTAACTAGCAGGAAAAAATATCTTTCGGTTAGTTACGTTATAAAACTTATGCAACTTAAATTCTTTACGAATTTGTAGCCTGAGCGATTATCTATCAAATTTGAACGCGAATATTTATGAAGCGGACACCAAAATTAATGAAACATGGAATTCTTGTAAAAAGTTAAAGTTAAATAAACTTAAAAATTATGATATTTTGGTTAGCCTTTTTTTCGAATATAATTAATCGTCTTTTCTCGATATAAATAATTTTAGAGAAACTTACGAAGCGCAAATTGAAAATTTTCAACAAGATTTGTTAAAATGGTTACAAAAAATTAATAAAACAATTCGTCAAGGAAATAAGAATTTTATTAAAAAAGAAAATGATAACGATATGTTCTTTCAAGAAAAACAAGAAAGTCTAAAATGTCTGGAAGAAAAGATGAATGAATGTAAAAAAAAAAAAAAAACTTCAAAACATCAAAACATTTTTTTTTGACAATTCTAGTTAAGGTTAATCTTTTACGCTTTATAGTGCAAAATATGATCGAACAAAAATTTTCAAAATCGACTCTCGAAGGTTTATTTAATTATGAATGTAAGTCATGAATACATTCGCTAAATCCACGCATGGCACGTGAAGTAACTTACGTGCTATTCAAAAAAGTTTCTCAACTAAAAAAACTTGTTCAAGATTCTGCCGATGCTGACGAAACGACTACTGATGATACATCTGAATTAGATTTAATGTATGAAGATGTACCTCTGCAGCTATGTCAAGATAATCGGTGAATAATTTCTATATCTGCTTAGCGTATAATTAATTATTCATGAATCATGGCTTTTATTATTTGCTTACAATTCTTGCCACATTAATTACTCGATAATAGAGACTTACGTGAGCAATTATTGAACAAGATAAAGCTTAATAAAATTAAAATTCGTGAATTAGAAGAATCGGTCAAATGTATAAATAGGTAAAATCGCATTTTATGCACGCATTTCTTGTGTTCTCGTCTTAATATATATATTTTTACGAATAGACTAGCAGATGAATGTGAAAAAACTTCATTGAATGTAACAACAGAAAATATAGAACAAATGTTATGAAATATGTACAAGGTATAAAGCATTTCTCACCTGATATTTAAACCTAAAATCTAAATGTGCCTTGTTTTATCTTATCATAATAATGTGTGATAAGTAATCTACACGTTACGGTCTTATAACCCAACAATTTCTATTAAATTTAATGATTAGTCGAGGGATTAGCTTTAATATGTATTAATAAATTTATTAGGACTGGGTAAACCCGCGTTGTAAATTAGTAAAATCCGCTACGTAGATCACGCTAGGGTGAAATTCGCGCTTAGTGATCTACGTAGTGGATTTTACTAATTCACTGCGCGGGCTTCACCCTGTCATAAATTATTTATGTTCCATATTCTTACCAATATATGAGCTTGGTGTACACTCAGGGGATCTCCAACCTTACAAATGGTATAATCATCCAGCAAACAAACCGTATTATTTTCTACTACAGTTGGTGCTTCCATCTTTTTAAAAATATCATTTACAGCTTTTTGTACAGGATGACCACCTTTCTCCGGCTGATATGAAACAATTCCTGCAGGAATTGTTACAGTTTCTGTTGCAATACTTCTAGGTCTCGCATATTCTTTCCAAGTAAAGTTTTCTATATATTCTCGAACCTCTTCGAGAGGCTTACTGGTAAGAAATAAACCACATTCACCATGGATTTCCTTTTAAATATATGTATACGTAAGTTTAAAGACGTAATTTCATGAACAAATAATTTTTTGTTTTTCAGATAGAAATAAAATAAATAAAACAAAATAAACGGGCAAATTTATAAATACTTTAGTCAATTCACTCAAATTGTCTTCAATTTCATTCGATTTATCGCTTCCTAATGCCATCGTTAAGATGGTATTTTTGTGAAAAAATATTCTTCATAAAAATTATAAAAATTTATAACCACGTTAACAATGTTAAATTTAAATTAACACGAACATTGGGTGCTACGAACAAAATTAACTCGTTATTCTTACTTTCCCTTAGATTCCCAGTCAGCACGAAACTGTTGCATGAAGGCATTCCGCATTTCTTCAACTTTCACCAGAAAAATAAAGTTGAAATTTTTAACGCTATTTTGAATCTTTTCTGCTTCCTATAACCAATTTTCATAATCAATATATATATACAAGCAACAAAAAACAAAACATTTGAAATACCTTCTCAAAATAGAGTCTTCTCTTTAACTCAGTCTTCTTCGTGAGCTTGTCTAATTAAAAATATATAGAAGAAAACATTCGATATTAAAACTAAAACAGAAGATAAAAGTCATAGTTTGATATCTTGTTTATTACTACTATTCGCTCTTTCTCTAACTCTTTTTGATCTTTTTGATCTTGCCATAACGATGTACAGTATGTATTCTAAACGTTAGATTTGCGTTAAAAAAAATTTCAGACACGTGACATTTGCAAGATCTGGTGTAACATGAAGTCTTAGGTGATATAAGCATACTCGACCAATCAAAATTCATCACGGGTTAATACATGTACGTAAATTGTGGATCTGAATTTTTTAAAACTTTGAACGAAGTTTTCTCGATAACTACCTGTACAAATTCGATAAAAAATTTTTTTATTTTAATTCTACATGTTTGTAGAATTAAAATAAAAAATTTTTCATTGAATTTGGTCAGGTAGTTAACGAAAAAACTTCACTCAAAGTTTTAAAAATTTTTAAAAGCACTTTATTACTAATAGGTGGTTTTAATTCTACGAATGTGTAGAATGTGTAGAATTAAAATAAAATTTTTTTTATCGAATTTAGTAAGGTAGTTATTGAGAAAACTTTGCTCAAAGTTTAAAAATATTCAGAATCACAATTTACTAAAATAAAACATTTTTTCTAAATTTTAAGCAAAGGTTTCTTAATAATCACCTGACCAAATTTGATGAAAATTTTTTCATTTGATTTTACGAATATGTAGAATTAAAATAAAAAAATGTTTTTAAATTTAGTAAAGTAGTTATTAAGAAAACTTTGTTTAAAGTTTTAAAAAAAATTTAAAATTATTTAATTTATTAATAAATAGAACAGATTTTTCTAAACTTTGAATAAAGTTTTTTTCATAACCAAATTTGATAATTTTTTTATTTTAATTTTATGAATATGTAGAGTTAAAATAAAAAAATCAATTAAATTTTGTCAAGTAGTTATTTAAAAAACTTTGCTCAAATCTTAAGAATATACAAAAATTGTTTATATATATTAACTTATGATGAATTTTAATTAGTTGAGTATACATAAATTGTTAGATAGTACAGATACTACTGTATATATATATATATTAATAAATATAAACACATATTATTAGAGTTGTCATTAAATAGCCTGTTGTGATTATTAAATTGACTTTACTTAAATATTTTGAAACTAATTTAAGCCTGTTCTAGACAAAGTCCAAATATAGAAAGTGTTATTCTTCATGTTATTTGTTTAATTGTGATTAAGAAATTTGAAAGATATTTATTATTATCTTTTTTTTATTAAAGTTTAAATATTAGTTACAGTTTTTTTATATTATAGAGGTTTCACAAAGAATCTAAGTTATATAATAAAAACAAACAATTAATCTACTTACTCACCCTTATAAATTGTTAAAAACAGTTAATCCACCTACCAACTCTTAATAATTGTTTATAATTATTATTGTCTTATCTACCCATTCTCCACCTATTCACTTTTAATGCTATAAACATTTCACAATTTTAAATAATCATCGATTTTGGGCTTTGTTTTAATAAAAATTCTTAAATAAATTTAAAAAAAAAACTATATATACAAATATACAAAATGTGAAGTTATATAAATTCTGAATTACATTATCTGTATAACAAAGATGCATATATATAAACATAAAAAAAGACAAAAAAATTAAATAATTAAATAATTAAATAAAAATTAAAAAAAACAAAAACAAAACAACTCTTTTTAACAATCTTCTGATCAACAAGTTCAAAATTTTGAACTATAGTCAGCATTATAGAAGATATCAAAAGGTGATAATATACTTAGTTTTATACAAGTAGATGTGTCATTAATGAAGTATTAGAAGTGTAAAACCGAAGAGCGGACTACTTTGGATGGTTTTTGTAGAGGTTAAGCTTTCTTGCTAGTAGACTCTTTTATTATATTTAGTATTCAAACTAGAAGAATATTCTGGAAATACAAAATGATTAGATTGACACTCAGTATATTAAAAAAACTGAAGATAGTCTCTATACAACTATAAAACTTATAAAGAAGAATTTACAAAGTTTCGTTGGCCCACTACTTTTTTCGAGAAAATTTTGTTAAAAAGTAGGCATCTTAGCTTACTTCTTCAAAAGATCGACATGTAATTTTTCAAAACAGCTGGTATTGTTTACTTCCCAAAATGGGTTGGTTATCTCCCAAAACTAGTTGTTTACTTTTAGTAAATACAAAATTGATAGATGTTTAGATTAAGCAACTGAGTATATTTAAAGAACAACTCTATTAGGCGACATACTTTAATTGAAAAAAACTGTTTAATTGATAATCCATCTATGAACTGAAGAATAGGTGAAATGAGACATCTGGCATCTAAAACATTTTTCTTACTAAGTTAAAGATACATGCTTATTAATTGAAAGTTGTAGAGCTCATCGAGATGCATCTAACAGGATGGCGAGATATCATCAGAATACGATTGGCTGACTATATAAAAATCTGTGACAGAAATTACATATGAAAATCACTATCGTCAAAATTAGCGTGCTCTCATCTAAAACTTTTTTTCTTACTAAGTTAATGATACATGACCATTAATTAAAAGTTGTAGAGCTCATTGAGACGCATCTAATGGTGGTTAGATCATTCAAATCGGCCTAGTGGATGGCAAGATATCATTGAAAAACGATTGCCCGACTATATAAAATCTTTAGGTAAACAATGTTTGTTTATATAGAGATTTTATATAGTCAGCCAATCATTTTCAATGATATCTCGCTATCCACTAGGCCGATTTGGATGATCTAACCACCATTATATACGTCTCGACAACCTCTACAACTTTCAATGAATAGTCATCTATCATTAACTTATTAAGA